CCTGTGGACCCTTGTCCATAAGTAACAAATACTACAAGAAGGATCTGTAGGTTAAGATATGAACTGGTACACACAAGTGTTTTCCATAAATTACATTTCTAAATAAAATCCTCTTTAATACAAATGCTTCCAAGCTCACTTTTATTTTCAAAACTTTATAAGGGCTATACAAGGTTTAGCACAAAAATCACAATGGGCTATCGATATCAAGCACAAGAAGTGCTTTTGCATCTAAACGGCAAAAAGAACCATAAATACCACACAAAAGGAAATAAACAGCCATAGAATATTTTAAATTAGTTGTACTATTAATAAGGGAAATTGAAGGTTACTATTTTGAAATCAACATTCCTAATTTTAAGAGGAGGAGATGCAGGCATAAAGATCAGCCAATGTCCCAAATGTCTCATAAGTGTAATTTTTGGATCTAATAAAACATCGGATTAAGACAAGATAGTTAAATTCTGAATGGAAGAGAATATGGAAACTAATAAGAACTAGTGTTTTTCTCAAGAAGTCTTACAGTCTATTTTCAATCAATACAGGAGTTATTATTTCTAGAACTTAAATAAGCAAAATAAAGTCTAAGAGTAAAATATGGCTGTGCTGGACATCAGACATTATTGAAAAGTTGGTTGGGCAGCATTACTGCAAAATCTTGCCAAATTTAATCATCTCTTAAGAAATAGCTTTGTGGTTTATAACTAGAAACATACAAATTGGCAATAGTGGGGTGTGATTTTTTTAATCTTCAGCTTTTGTAGTCTGCTCAACATGTCGTAACACAGCATTCTTCCTTCCTTTACCATGCTATTTCAAGACTTTTAGAGCTTATTTATACAATGACTTATCCTTCCTTCATGCAGGTGCACAACAGTCAAGAGTTTTGGCAAGCATTTGCTAAGTTGTAGCTTGCTTTACAGTTGCCCTGATCACACAGAGAGAGCATCTCTAACTAGGACACATCCCAGAACGTACCCCAACCAGCTGCTTCCCTCCAAGGCAGCAGCTGTAGCAGCCAGCACCGCACTTTCATCAAGAGTGCATGTTACAGGATGAAGAAATTTGGATGCGCTACCAGCAGGCTCTGCGAGCGATGGCCGGCAGGCTGGTGCTGATGCACACCTTCACGACGCTGGCGAGAGCGTGCTGCGCTGCCGCAGGCACTTGGGACAGTTCCCAAGCCCTGCAGAGCCCCACAAACCCTCCTGCCAGCACTTGGTATTTAATTTCAACCAACTCTATGCTATCACACAAGGAAGGATGGAAAATCTTTCTGCAACCCTCTCCTGTGTTCTCCCCATCTAAGAAGATACTAAATTCTAAATTCTGTACCTGTGAGTTGCATTATCAAATTCTATGTCTATGGATCACCTATTATTATTATATAATACAGAATACAGACCATCTGCTTCATACCAATTCAGACCAGGGCAAAACTGGACCTGTAATGGACTCTTATAAAAAGTCAAAATTCCAACTATTCTATCAGGTATTTTTAAGGATCAAAATAAATCATTGTATTCAACTCACACAATGACCAAGTCTTCCACCACAGCACTGTTATATCGTCCTCCCACCTCTTTGTTTAATCACCTAAGTGCTATTGTGTCAGTCATGATCTTCAATGTACATTTATAAAAAAGTGTTTTGCTATTTCTCTGTTGCATTTTATAAATAGTCTTCAAGACACCTCATCAGACAACAGATATAAATAGCCTAGCTGCTTTTAAACATGCATGCACCCTGATGAAAAGAACATCTGAAAAATAACATATACTGCATTTATGTTATTTGGTTTTTTTAAATTCTTGAAATAAGCAATGAGTCAGAAGTCTGCTGTAAAATTCTGTAAAACTGAGGCATCAGACAGACATCAGTGTGGTAAATACTGACTGCATTTGGGCAAGCAAGTTTGTCCTGGGAAGATTTCAAAGTGCTGCTGATGAGCATTACCCTGTTTCCCTGCCTTCCCTCGCAAACCCTGACAAATATTTGCAACTCTGAGTCTCTCAAATGTGAGTGAAAAACTGTCTTGTGAAAGTCACAGCACATCATCATCTAATGCTCAGAGTAGCTTCTGAAGCAGAATACTCTGGGTATCAGATGCAGCTGGAAGAACTACAACTGATTCTAGCTACAGTATTATTCTAAGGGCAATATCTAGAGTCCAGAGGGTGCACAGGTTCCTGATCCTTGACCTGCAGCTTTATCCTTCTATGACTCTGCCATCTATGCAGTAATTAACATACTTCAAAGTCTGCATCGTCTCTATACCACTGCGACATATGTTTAAGTTCACTGCAGCTGCACAAGGCCATCATTTGATCCTTTCATTCTTCCATTCTGGCAAGCCTTTCACTCTTTGCCAGGCAACTGAAATACACGGGTCTTTGAAGTATTCAGAGATCTTCTATTTAAACAGAAAGTATTGAAAGCCCTAGAAATCCCTGCAGTCCAAGTCTCCATTTGCTCTGTAAGACACCACATAAACAACCATTGCAATGTGTGGTATGCATTCTGAGCAGTAACAATCAATCACTAAATAGCAAGTTACAAGTCACTGTTTGACAGCAGTTTCAAGAATAGCTAAGTTACTACTGCCAGATCTACTAAAAGCTGCAATCAGTGTGAGATACTTGGGGGGTGAAGGGGAAGCGGGGAGAAGAGAGACAGAATTTGAAAAGTTAAAAAGCAAGCAAACAACAACAAAAAAAAATCCCACACACATTTCTGCTCAAATGTATTTAAAGTTGTGAATGGAACATGAGCATCTCACTGTTCTTTAAGATCTATCCCAAATTTCACAAGAACTATAGAAACCTGTACTATGAAGTGCTATGAGAGTGAACATGTTGAGTGCCATGACCAAACTTGCACTGCTTCACAAGGGCTGGATGGATAGAAATACCTTTATCAGAGCAGAAGTGGTGTTTGCTTTAGAGCACCAGCTAAACAAGCTACTTTGGTTTCTTGAATGTTGTTTTTGTTGCAGGACAGTAACAGATCAGTGGACATGTGATAACAAATGATGTGATTCCAGGATGTCAAACTGCCCCACAGCAAAGGGGCTTTAAACTTCCTCTTCACATGATCAGATTAGCAATCAGGGCTACATAAAAGTTTAGTTTACAAGTTTACTTTTAACCATGGGTTCATGCTTTAAAAAAAAAAAAAAAAAAAAAAAAGAACCACAAAGGAGTACTATGACTTTCTCAGGGATAGTTTAGGAAGCTATCCTGCCTCTTCCAACAAAATTGTCCCACGAGAAACCGGATGGGAATTTTTCTATCTGCCACCTCACAGACCACAGCTATCCTTCTCTACTTAGACCCTTTTATTTTATAATTTCTACCAAACTCATTCACATCCTTCTCCTGTGTTTTCATCTTTGTAGAGCTCCCTTGAGCAGCCCTGCAAAGGCTACAACAGGAATGCAGAACGATTCCTTGTGTGGACATGGTGGATCAGGCTGAGCTGTACTTTGCTTAGTTTGGCAGATATTCCCAGTATTATAAAAACTGCTTTCACACACAAACACTCAGTTTGCAAAAGCAACTCTCCTCTATCACCCTCAAAAAAAAAAAAAAAAAAAAAAAAAAGGCTGTCAGCACACCACTCTTTGCAATGTCTGAATAATTGCAAAATACTTATGATCCTCCACTACTCCCCTGTATGAAAGCACTCAGGAAGCTGCCATTTAGCATCTGGCTGTAATAACCTACAGGGCTTCTGTGAATAAAGATTCTTTCCCCCAGTGCTTATTACAGATGTTTTTGAAAAGGTAATCTTAAATGAGGTCAAATTATTTAATTATGTTCCTAATTTGTATGTCAGATGTAAAGCTAATAAGCAGAAAATTAATTTTTGACAGAAAAAAAAATTAGACCCCCATCCTAATTGGAAAGAATAGTAAATTCCTTTAGAAATTATTAAATGATGAAAGGCAGGTGTTGTAAAAACAGAATAATAGCAAATCTACAAGACCAAGTTCCATTCATAAATCCCCAAAACCAAGTAAATTTCATTCAGTCTATTTTTGTTAAATCTACATATTTATATTCATGCTTCAGATAGTACAATCTTAAACAAGAACAAAGTTCCACTTACTACCTCGTTCAGCCTTCTATTCCCCAGTTCAGAGCAGCTGATGAGCTGACTGCAGATAACTGGGCGCGACGAAACGTACACTGTGCTGTGCATGGACCTGGCAGAGCACACATCTTCCCAAGCACTGAGAAGAACAGGGTAAGACCCAGTTCTGCAACTCATCTTCTGGTGGGCTACCACTTTGAGATCACAGCAGCAACATGCTGCTCCTTACTATGTAATGATTTAATCTGAGATTACTCCTCTAGGTCAAAAATAGTTAATGCTTATCCAAACCCCCGCATTTCTGGAGAAGAAAACACCCTGAGAGAGCACCTTCTTAAATAAACTAAGGAACGGAGCTCACTCTCATAAAAACTGCTGAAAGCAATTATTTGACCTGAGTTCCCAGATTCTTGGGGATCCACAGCTGCTTCTGAGGGTCCTGGGAAGGCAACTACACAAAGAAGGCCTACTGGCCTGACTTCAAGTATGTTTATGCACACCATATAAGAATTCCCACTATTACAGGAAATTTTTACAGGATCCACAAATCCTATTCGAAAACCACAGATTTAAAACATATCCTCCAGTCAACAAGAGTTTTACTCTTCAATATACCCAGGCAGTTTCTCAAGATCTTTTTTCTCAGCCTGTTCACTTCCTTTGGCCACAGATTTCTTGCTAGCCTGCTTGCCAAAAGGGAAGATATTTTGTACAATCCATACCATCATCATTACAAGACAAAACTGATAGATATTAATTGTGGGCAGTAACTATGGGATGCAGTCTACTCACCGTGGACATTCCACTCCCCTCCCAGCACACTCTAGTCACAGCAAAAGGAGGAAGAAAAAAAATTCTACATGAGCAAAGTTGAAAGTGTAATGAAGAAATAAGGTAACACTTACGGTCAAGTCCATTGATGTATCTCATTGTAATTTCACAGTGCCCCCAAACCGCACTGACTATGGGGTAAAGTTTTTTCCCTTTCAGTCCCCTGAAGGCCACTCCAAGATACTGTCCATCTACCATGAAGCTAAGCGTCCCTTCATCCATATCCAAAACCACCAGTAAGGAGTCTGGGAGTACAAAAGACTCATCTGGTTCCAAAAACACAGGATACGTGACCCCAGGCTGGTTTTTACAATTGTGGTAGAGTTTGTTGCGCCCCAGATCCCAGCCCCACGATTCACTGTTGCTACCAACCAACGACGTGTATCCCACCGAGTGCAGCGGAGCTTCGGCCGTGGAGACACCCACCACAGCATGAGTTCCTCGTTGCCGCGTGGGCCAGTGGATTTGCCAGACATGCAGGCCTCTCGTGTAGCCAACTTTGCCCCGGATGCAATCTGTGCTTTGGGCAACTGGGTGTCTATGAAAAGTGAGTTTATCATCTTCCTTTACAAATATATTTAAGGAGCGATCTTCATTGTTCCAAGCATGTTTATACTGGACCTCCAGCTTGGCGGGGGGCATATCCAACAGCATGTCCAGTCGCGCCGGCTTGCAAAAATCCGGGCCTCTCAGCTCTCGTTTAACAGGTCTATAAGGGGGCTCCCTCACATCCACAGACTTTATGCTCCCTGAGATTTTCTGGCCCATTGCTTGGCTGCAGATTTACAAAGGAGAAGGAAAAGTTGACTTTGGCCCAACGTTACCTCATGAAAGCACTTCTACACTGAGCCAGTGACCTGACAAGCTGACTGGATTTACTTGTCCTGTTTGGAGCTTTTTAGCAGCAATGTTTTCAGAGAAAAAATGCTCCTGAAAAAAAGCAGAAAGTTTCCAGTTAGTTTAAGAAAGCCAACAGAAAACCCACAGCATATTTTTAAAGAACAACTTCTCATCCCTAGTAGTTATTTGAAACACCAAAGCTGACAATTCACCACTTTTTGTTCAGTATCCTACAGTGCAAACCAGCCTGCCAGCAGGATACTGAGCCCACCAGCGTACAGAGTGCAGACAGTCATTTCCTCCAATTCATAATAGGATGCAGACATTCCCCACCTTCTTCTGCCCTTCCACCTATTTTGTCTGGCCAAGTTCACAGCGGTCCTCAAGAAGGCGTACGCTATTCCCCAGCAACAGTGATAAACTTTATGTTCAGCAGTAGCTTCACTTTCACTTACACTTTTGTTTCATAGTCTTAGGAATATGCACGATGTCAGAATCTCCTTTTATTTCTAGCTGTTCTCTTCCCTGGGCCCTAGCAACAGAGGGTTCAGCTTTTCTGTCATTATTCAAGCACACAAAAGCAAATGACTGCAAAATTTAAATGTTTCCTTTTAACATACCCCGTCCTTAAAAGAAAAAACAAAAATTCATCAAGCTTCAGTTTTTTATAAAGGAGCTTAAAAAAAAAAAAGATGGAATGAGCAAAGAACAGCCATGGAAGGACAAATGAAGAATGGCACTTTCAGTTCTTTGGCAGACTTTTCTAGTGGGCAGCTACTACAACTGCGTATGTTCTTCATAATACTGAACAGTAGGCTAACCCACATTTTCTGTATTTTGGTATTAGGCTGATGAGAAGGACTGGAACACAGTAAGATACACTAAGGGGAATACACGATTTTGAAATGTATTGTTTGTGTGCTTCCGTAGACAAACATGGTAATTTAACTGTAAGGGGTCAAAAGCACCCAGGAAAGAATCTTTGCAGTCTGGATAAGTTAGATTACCTGAGCTTTAAAATGTGAATCAGAGTGCAAAGGGAAGCCAAGAACCTCTAAAAGTACTAAAGGAATAAAAATGAGGACAAAGTGCTATAAAATCAAGTAGATGGTTGACATGGGATCAAATTAAAAAGTACCTGCACCAGCAGACATCTTCTGCCTTCTAGCAAAATAAGTGCCAAGCCAGGAATGCTCAAATATAGATGAGTAGACCTGCTCTTTTTTTACTGACAGAGTGATGAAGTGTTTCAAGAAGCAGCAAAAATCACCAGACTCTCAAAAGCCCAGGTGACAGCTGGTTTTCATAAAACACCCAACAGCAGACAGGGGCATAAATGTCTTGCAGGATTTTACTTGGTAAGCCACAAGTCTGTGTTCTTCCTTTTAAAGAACTTCTACCTCAAATATACTGTCTCATTTCAAAGATCTTTTCTGAAAGAAGATGAGTAAGAAACATGTACTCACGATGGAAGGAAATAAAAAGAGAAGTCTAGGAAAAGAACACCTGTAAAATTTACCATTCAACCATGTTTTAGAAGTGAATTAAGTCCTTATATTATTTACCATGGCAAATACCATGTAAATAGTTTTCTGCATGTATTAAATACAGAAATGAGACAACACCTGCATTATGCGAGTTTCCTTTCCAAAAAAAGAAAGTGAAAAGTCGATTTTCAAATCCATGACAGTTAAGTCACTGTATAAAAAAATAATATTTTCCAGTAGCTGGTCCCACATTGCTATGCGCACACCTGAGCATGGAACAAACACCTCTATGAACCTAATTTTAATCTTTAAAAATCAAAACTAAACATCAGCCCCTAAGCCCCCTTGTATTATGCTTGCACAAGGATTCAGAACAATTCACAGGAGTTCCCCACATGAGATCATCTTGAACATCCTCCTTCCTTCCTCCCAAACCATGTAAGAGGAATTTAAAAGTTTAAACAGTAATTAAATTTAAATTGACACTTGCCATTTCCACTACTGCAGAAGCACTCATGGGTTGTTTCAAAGGTACAATGGCAAATTTGGCCCACCAAAGCAAGCTCAGTACTTGACGCCACACTAATAATCCGGGGGGAAATGGCATAGTGACGCTAATATACACATATGGAAGCAGTAGAGAGTAAATGTCATCAGGTAAGCAAGCTTTTCTAAGAGGACACATGCTCAGGGATTGGGTAGTTCCTTTGAAAAAGGTGTGTGATTATTTGAGCTTGAAAGAAGGATATGAAAAGGGAAAATGTCAGATGTTCAAAGGGAAACTCAGTGATTTCTGCATGTGATTTAGCTCTACATGCCTTTGAAAATTTCCTCTTTAAAGCACAAGACAATTGCCACATTCCTGCCCGGGTGCTATGGGGAGACAGCCGGGGAAGTCCTCAGTGCATCTTCCTGTATCACTTCCTGATCACATGAGAAACTAAACTTGGCACCGATGTTTACCTGGCAAATCACCAAGAGATTATAAACACTAAAGTGACTCACTTGGCAAGCCACAGACATTCTTCCTAATGTGCCCTAAACTGTAACAGAAATAGGCTGCTAATAGATAGATAGGTAATCCAGAGGAATAAAATGCATCATTTTAAGTACCTTGATACACACACAGCTGTGCTTTTACTCTGGGATGCGCTCAGTACACACTTCAGTTTGAAACGCTATTTTACAATATTAAGTCTTTCTTCATACACAGACATTACCACTTCATTTATTACATAATGTCACATTTTGCCAAATTGCTTTGTATGGACATAGGACTGAACAACTTTAAAAATCTTGCAGTTACTAATGCATTCAATATGCAGCAGTTCCTAAACAGCAGTACAGCTCAAAACCTACTTTTCATCAAATAATTTCTCCCACCCTCCATATTATACTCTCTTTCATCCTAGTTCTATGTAGCTGGTAGTTGTTCTGAGCTTCTACTAGAAGGCCAACTACAACCATACTTATCTCATTCAAGTATCAGTGGACTTGAACAAGTAAAGGGGGCGGGGGGGATCAACATTTAATAATTTGTACTGGTAGAGCAATAAAAGTGTAACCCTGTGCTGTCACCTAAGAGCTCTGATTGCTACTACTTAGTAGTAGCTGACATGAAAAATTCACATGAGGAGGCAGTGAGGGGTTGCAACACACGCCTCGGGCTCGCAACCCATGCAGCATTAACGTGAGCTCCACAGGGAGCCACTCACGCACAAAGTCCTCCTGGCAGCTCCCAACCTCCAGTTGGCTGCTTGCAGGCGCAACCCGTCTCAAAGCCAAGCTCATCTATTCTCTTTTTTTTTTCTGCATGCTGTCCATGTACACCAAGCAGACGGCAGAGACCCACGCTGAGGTGAGCACCGGCAGCAGAGGCACCACCTCGTCCTTCACCCCGTCAGGAGCCGGTACTGGAGGAGCGCAGCTTACCAGGGCCCATCTCCACGGGCAGACAGCCCCTCCCGGCTTCCACCGGTAACATCACACTGCCAGCACAGAAGCCTCGGAACCGTCCCACTCACACCATCACTGTCAGGATCTCCAGGCAGCTCCTCCCCACCGAGGCGTGCGATGGCGGCAGCTGGGGCTGTGGGAAGGCACGGCGCGGTGCTCGGGCGGCCAGCGGGGCCACTACCAATTCAGCGGGCAACAGGCCCCGGCCTGGCTGCAGGACTGGACGGCTGCCCCACACAGCATCGGTAAAAGCTGTGGGTTGACCTGAAAGGACAGGAGATAATTCTTGTCAGATTATGTGCTATTCAAGCCATATACAGAAATATTTCTTTGTAAAACCTTCTTATCTTCTGAATTAATGGAAACTTGCCACAGCACTGTCATTCAACTGCTGTGACTTTTTGTAATCTTATACTACTTAGAGAAACTTAGATTTCCTTGCCTGTATCTTTTCACTAGACGTAAAATATTCTGAAATTAAGACAACGTGCATTTTCACTGTATAGTTTTGCTTTTAAGGTTTTCCCAAAGCTTTCCTCTTCCAGTAATTTCAAACCACTACAAGAGTTAGGAAATAAGAAAATATTTCCATCTGGCTTAATATATGACCTTGCTGTTAAACCTGTTTAGTGACCACAACTGAAACACTACATTTCATCTGTTATCCCTGTGATAAAAGATACTTTGTGGAAAATAAAGTACTATTTTTATGAGAAGAGAAGAACCACCACATTAGTACACTCCTTCAACAACGGAAAAATCTCTCTTAAGACAACTGTTAGTTTTTGCAACTTAAATTGTTTCTGTCTCAGTTGCACATTCATGCCACACTTTGTCAGGATATGATGATTAGATTAAACATACTGTACAAGAACAAGCCAACTCCAAACAGGAAAACTGTGTCAACGTCGCTTAGCAGTGTCCTCATGCAGACTGCCAAAATATTTCGGGAAATTATTCACAATAAAACCACAAATTATATTTACCAGAGAAAGGCTTGCTGGGACATCACTTTGCTGTAATTAAATAGGGTGTGTTTTTTAACAATGCAGTATGTTGGCATCAGTAGACCATAACTGCTGATAAAAGAAACATGCTTTCTGCAAAGTCAGCTTTCAGCCTTCATAGCTGTATTTCCCTCTGGATTATGAACTAGAGGTGCAGAAAACTTGAAAAACACGCACAAGAAATGACACCACATAAATGCAAATCAAAACTACAGTAAGAATGTCCTAAGGCTTAGGTGAATTCTGCTAAATTGACACATACCAAAAAAGTGAGAAACACCTAGGTGAGTCCCAACTAACAATACTAGTTGGTTAAACTGCCTGTCAGAAAAAACAAGGAAGGTAATCCCTCTATCAGCCTTTTAAACTTTTACACAGCAGTTCCCACTCTTTTTGCTACTGACCCTCATGGTTTCCTTCCTGCAGCCAGACCTCACTTCCACCTCCCCTGCCCACCTGGGCTTTGTCACCAGCAAGCAAGGACTCCTGAACACTAAGAGAGTTGCAACAGGAGACTCTGAACCAAGACCTCTTCTCTGTGGGCACCAAAATTGTTTGCTCCTCAGATGCCTGAACAGAACCGATACGCTAGGCGTTTGAGTAGTCTGAATCTAACCCTGGTACTAATGTCTTTACAGCAGGAATACAAATCATGGAACAGTTTGGGTTGGAAGGCACCTTAAAGTTCACCCAGTCCCAACACCCCTGGCATGGGCAGGGACACCTTCCCCCAGCCCAGGGTGCTCCCAGCCCCGTCCAACCTGGCCTTGAACCCTTCCAGGGAGGGGGCAGCCACAGCTTCTCTGGGAACCTTGTGCCAGCGCCTCACCACCCTCACAGGGAAGAATTTCTGCCTTAGATCTAATCTAGATCTGCCCTCTTTCAGTTTAAAACTGTTACCCCACATCCTATCCCCACACCCCCTGATCAAGAGTCCCTCCCCACCTTTCCTGTCCCCCCTTTAAGCCCTGGGAGGCCGCTCTAAGGTCTCCCCGGAGCCTTCTCTTCTCCAGGCTGAACCCCCCCAACTCTCTCAGCCCGGCCTCCCAGGGGAGCTGCTCCAGCCCCCCCAGCATCTTCTTGGCCTCCTCTGGCCCCGCTCGAGCAGCTCCGTGTCCTTCTGCTGTTGGGGCCCCAGAGCTGGCCCCAGCACTGCAGGGGGGTCTCCCCAGAGCGGAGCAGAGGGGGAGAATTCCCTCCCTGGCCCTGCTGCCCCCCCTGCTCTGGGTGCAACCCAGCACATGGGTGGTTTCTGGGCTGGGAGCGCACATTGCTGGCTCACAGTCAGTTTTCCATCCACTAACACCCCCAAGTCCTTCTCCTTGGGGCTGCTCTCCACCCACTCCTCACCCAGCCTGGGTTTGTGCTTGGGATTGCCCTGACACAAGGGCAGGACCTTGCCCTTGGCCTTGTTGAACTCCATGAGGTTTGCCAGGGCCCATCTCTCCAGCCTGTCCAAGTCCCTCTGGATGCCATCCCTGCCCTCCAGTATGTGAACCTGCTGAGGGTGCATCAATCCCACTGTCCATGTTGTTGACAAAGATGTTAAACAGTGCTGGGACCAACACCAACCCCTGAGGAATGTCACTCATCACTGCTCTTCACTGAGATACTGAGCCACTGACCACAACAGCTGACCACAAAAAAGAAGCAAAACACCAGCTCTGCTGTGCTGGGCAAGTTGATGAAGAAGGTTTTATAAATTCAAGAACAAGGACTTTTACCTCCACCCAGACATGTAAAGGCATGAGGCCCAGCATCTATCAACTGTGTTCCCAGTGCGCAAACAGCTACATAACCATGACAACACTGTTTTGAGGGTGACAATTAATTAAGCACACTTTTGGCACCCTAAAAAAATTGGCCAGCTTGGATTCAACTATAGATCCTGGTATCCAACATTGTTGATTTATTGCCCAGTTTGAACAGTGTTGGCTTCCCCTGTCAAACTGGGAATATACAGTAACAATCCGACTAGCCAAAAATGCTTGGCTACTCTTAACTATCTGGTGCTACAGATAAAATTTTATGCTGCATGCACACTTAGCAAATGACATTTAACATGTGGGATGAACAATGTAGCAGTAAATCATGACTTCTTCAGTTCCTGAAAGGAATGCAGATCCTGAAAATCCCAAGGACATTCCTCCGTAAAGAGTAACATGTTTTGTAATGTTACAAAAATGTAATTGTTTCAAAATTTAAGACAAGCTTGTTATTAACACAGACTGTGCATTTAGCTGCTTGGAATTAGAATAATGTGAAATACCACACCATCTGTACCACCAGAGTTAGAAGCAGTTTAGTCATATGATGAAGAATTCAGAAAGAATCTTGAGTAGCTATGAATACAGCGGAATGTATATTTTTAAATACTTCCATCTACTGTACTTTGAAACTAAGCTGATTTTATGTTTTGGGTTGGTTTTATGCCTCACGTCTCTCTGGTACTGAAAGTCAGTTTTAGAGGCAAATGTTTATATTCTGAAGATACATGAAAGATAACAAAAACTCACTTCAATTCTGTAAACAGGTTTTTTGCATAATGTCTTCTCAGTTAGAATACAGCAATGTAATTTGAAAAACAAACAGTAACATAATACAAGAAAAATTACTTTTTTTAACTATGCAAGTACTTTTAAGACAGCAACATTTCAATTCTAAAGTTACTGAAAGGAAACATTTACTTTTTTTTTTTTCAGGGTATTTAACAGGAATACCTATGTGATTCCACAATTACCATAAACTTACAGATGTTCAAACCACTACCTCCCTTCTACCACCTCTTCCTATTCATTCTTCCCTTTTGTCTTGCAGCCACCTCTGCATTCAAATGGTCTTGGTGATGGGCCTGTCTCAGAAAACTAAAGTAGGCAAAACCTAGTATTTTATTTTGCCACGTTATTTCCAGGTAGATAAGCCCTCTGATCTGGCACATCAGACAATCATGTAAATGCTTACTCTGGCATAAAGGAAGAGGCAGTGCGGGGGCAGCAATAGAGAGTGGAAAGGCAGAACTATTTAGGCAGCAGCCCAAACCATGGAGCAACTTTCCATAGTCACTTCAAGCTGCCCTAAGTGGCACAGCTGAACTTCATACCTAAATTCAGTGCAGCCACGAGCTGCTTACATCTTCCTCACCCTTCTAGCACAAAATCATGCATCTTTCATCCTTCTGCCACCCTTCTGTTACAGTGAATACCTTCCTGTCTTTCCTGAATGGCTGATGTAGCCATTTTGAATATTCAAGCGTCAGGGTTATATTAAAAGAGCAAATTAACACACAAAAGAGGCTTAACGCTAAATTTGAGAATTATGTTTTCAGTTCTGCTTTGCATTTTACAGTATTATTTGCCATTCTACATTTCTACTCAGCCATGCTTCACCAAGTACGTAATACCAATAGGTGTCAGACCACGTGAGATTTAAAGCCCAAGGAATAATTAAGTTTTAATGCTCCAATTTCTCTCCAGTCATTACTACTTTTCACCAGCATAATACTTTTTCAGACAATTATTTTACATTTTAACTCTACAGCTTTGTAGAGGATCAATACCCTTACAGCTTCAATTTCAAAAGCAGAACATCCATTAAACAATGACCTCGGATGTGGCTGAATGACTTCCCACTACCTCTCTTCTGCTGCAATTCCTTTTGCTGTAATGTACAATGGAACCAGGTGGCCTTTAAAATGAAAGAAAAGTTACAAAGCCATAGATGAGAAAAAGACTCCTGGAAAGCATCGTTCTTCAGCCTAGGCAGCAGGAAATCCCCGGAGATGTGCCAGAGATGATCCCCAAGGGGACTAAGGGAAGGTCCAAAGATTGTAGAAAGCAAGACAGAGGAGAGTTCCTCTAGCTTGACACAACTGTTCACCACACCTTTATTGCAACTGCAGAAACTGCAGTAACATGCTCTAGTGAACATCTGGCCCCTTAGCTCAAGCTTCAGTCCTGGTATATTATGCGTGCCAACATTTTCCAAGCCTGGTGAGTCTTTCTAAGTCATGACTGAACTTAGGTCTACAACTGGTTTTCTAGGGGCACTACCATGATGAGAATGGGGGTAAGTATGAACACGCATTAATAGCAGCTCTGTAGCCTTCTACAGCATCACAAGGCTGTTGTAGACTTAGACGCTACAAGAGATGGCTCTGCTCTCACAGTGCCTGTCTGTATGTTTTGCAGTGGATGACTCTAGTGCTTAGCCTCTGTACCATTTATAAAAAGACATTCACTAACAGCTTAAGATTTGCAA